CACACACACACACACACACACACACACACACACACACACACACACACACAAATTCACAACAAAGAAACTTCCATGAACAGGATTTCTGAATTGATTACATATGAAACATGGTTTGTTCTTCATTTGAATCTCAATTCTAGTCAAAAGACAATGCACTTAAATTCATAATATACAGCAAGTTGAACCTTTCATGCATTTACTAAACACACTGAGCTATTAGGACTGCTCAAGAAAGCAATCTGATATTTGCAGCCTTAAACATCCTGGTCTCTTCCTCACAAAGAAGAACTTATTATTGATTAATACTAGTATTGGAAGATACTACAAATCAAGGTGTCAGCATATATTATATCTGAGCTGAATCTATGAAATCCTTAATCCTTAAGCAGGAAATTACAGCAGGGATGTACATGAAGAATAATAAGAAACATATAGAAACATATAGAAATCCTGATAATTTTACAAGATGCGCAGGCTTTAAAAAACACCAACAAAAAAAATATCTCCAAAACCCTGGAGACTTGGTTTAGAGCAGGGGTGGGCAATTCCAGGCCACGAGGGCCGGTGTCCTGCAGGTTTTAGATCTTTAGATCACACCTGAATCACATGATTAGTTTGTTACCAGGCCTCTGGAGAACTTCAGGACATGTTGAGGAGGTAATTTAGCCATTTAAATCAGCTGTGTTGGTTCAAGGACACATATAAAACCTGCAGGGACACCAGCCCTCGAGGCCTGGAGTTGCCCACCCCTGGTTTAGAGGGTACAGTTTAATGCTGGACTGCAGTTTAATGCTGTCAACCTCATGTAACAGCAATTTCTTTGCAGATGCACCGGGCAGTGTACATTCCATTTTCCCAACAAGTGCTGAAATGTCTAAATGCAAAGATGGGGCAATCTTGACCCCAAATGTTTAAAAGGACTTCACATTGCTTAAAGTTATTCTATTGATTAGTTTCTATAATTAAGTAAAAAAAACAAAACATATTTAATACAGAGCATGTATACCTTATGAAGAAGAGGAAGGCTGAAGTGGCAGATCCTCAGGCAAAACGCAAGCATCTCCTCCTTGAAGTGCTGAAAGTTGATTTGCTCAATGACTTCATGAATCTTATTCTTTTTCCTGATGAGACCCATGAATGTTGCTCTCTACAGAAAATGTGAGAAACGTGACATTAAAAATATAATGTGTTTGAATATCTTAGCATGCACCATTTTAATTTTTAAATAGTTTTAGGGATGTAATAAAATCAGACCCAACATTGTTTAACATTCATGTGACAGAAAATGAAAACTAGCCAATGCAGTTATTTGATGGTTTTGTTGTAAAGGGGGAGGTTGGCCACTGGAGGGAGCTGGAGCTAAAAAACAAATGCAGAAAAAGTTGGGGAGGATTCTACAGTGAAATGAGGCTCCACCATCCAAAGATCATTCAGTGATCAGTCAACCCCATCCAGATAATAAAAGGGACACTTATAAGGCATGCAAGCTAAACCAATTGTTTTAATTTGTCTTTTCCACATAATGTCTTCCTGCACCAGCGCTATCATCATATCAGCACACTGATGACTGTGGCTGATGAGGAGATGCAAGATGGGAAAGCAGACTGTCCATTATCCAGTATATTTATGGCCTAAGCTTGCAAAGCCTAGTAGATCTGAAATGAAATTAACCGTTGTGTCTTTGTCTACACTTAAAAGCTATAAAACGATTAGCACAAGCTTCCCATCCTGGTTATTTTGTATTACACAGCATATCAACATCGATATGACAATGCTTATCAATTTTTAAACAAGACTTTACAAAATAACTTATAAGTAGGGATAAAGTTACACACTGACTTTAATGTAAATGTTATTATCGTGTAGTGAAAAAAAGGTTTAGCGAGTAACCTCACCTTTCCAATATTTTTGGGAGGAAAGTGTTTCATCAGCACCTCTTCTGCTTTCTCAAACTTACTGTTTTTGATGAAAATCCCCACAATCTAAAGACAGAAATATATTATTTGCTAAACAGAATATAATTAGAAACCACTGTTTTGATTGCCTTTGTAGACGTATGTAAGAATGTAAAAGCTGAACAAGTGCAGATATTTAAAATGTAAAAACAAAAACAACCCACTTAATTTAGGGAGAAGTTGTCTTTGAATGGAAGTACAATAAAGGAATTCAGCTCAAGAGAAATGCTTACCATATCTTTAAGAGAAGAGGACACCTTTTCATACTCCTGCTGTGGGATACTGAATTCCTGGCTTATTTTTTCCAGTAACATTAAGGCTGATTCCAGAGGAGTTGATGGCACGTCCATTTCAAATGAAACACCTGTAGGCAAAGACAAACCAATATTCACTGTTGTGTTTATTCACAATATTCACAGTATGACGAGATGTCAACCTCAAATATGAATTTAGAGAAAGCTGTGAATCAGGCTATTGATTATGACAGAAATCAAACTTAGTTTTGTTATCAAGTATTCTTGATAATCAAGTATTCTATCAATTGAGTAATAATGGAAAATTACATTTGTCTCTTTAATAAGCAATTTTTAAAATATTAAATATTAAAATGAGAAAAAAACAGGTCTTTTAAAATAAACTGCTCATTGGATTCTCTTTTAGAAACGATTTTTTTTGTTTAAAAACCGGAGCAGCTTGAGCGTAATGTTTTTAATACACCCCTGCTCTTAGATATGTTTCTGCTACGTTGTCTGTTTTTAGTTGCAAATGTGAGTGACGCCGTGACAACTGAGCGCTACAGAAGCAGTCCTAGTATTGATATGTCACCAGATGTCCTTTATATACCATGTATACACTCACTGGACATCACTGGACTATTAGGTACAATAATACCAATAAGTTTCAAAAGCTTCTTAATAGAAATTTCTAAAATCCCACTGCAGCAGCTGTAGCGCATTTAGGGATTTGGATATGGTAAAGACTACTTGTGGAATTCAAACCGAGCATCAGAATAAGAATTTCAGTGACTTTAAACATGGCATGTTTGTGGTGCCAGACAGGCTGGTCTGTGCATTTAAGATGTACTGGGATTTTCTCTAACAATCATCTCTAGGGTTTACAGAGAATGGTCAGATAAAGAGAAAACATCCAGTGAGCAGCAGTTCGCTGAATAAAAATTGTCGTGTTGATGGGAGAAGTCAGAGGAGAATAGTGAGACTATTTTGAGTTGACTCATTCACTCAAAATGGAAAATTCTGCCTGGTCTGGTGAGTCTTGATCTCCGCTGTGACTTTAGCATGTTAGTCCCCAATTCTGTTGTTAGTTGATTCTGTTCATCTGGACGCAGCGTTTTCAGTGGGAGAAACGTTTCGTCAGTCATCCAAGTGACTCCTTCAGTCTCAGCTGACTGCAGGCTTCCCCAATCTTATAAACAGTACATTTGCATGATGACTGAAACTAGCACCACCTCAAGTAGTGAAATAAGTTTGACATTTCCACCTTGGTGCTTTACAAACTACTTTTCCTTTGTTGGAAGTTGGGATCTAAAAAGGGAGCTGCTTCACTAAATCATTGGAAGCTGACAGGTGGTTCCTGCTCTGAGACATGCCTCGGCTTTTCTCGTTGTTGTCCACACTAGGGAACATCAAGGCATGGCGTTGCTACAAACAGTGACATTGTGATATGATACTTTTATGATATCAGAATATTACATAAAAATGTGTACTGGTATTTAAATAGACATCAATGGATATCATGCCAATATGGACCAAGGAAGGAAAATTATGTGACACAAATAACTGAGGCAGCTCTGAAAGCAAAAGGTGATCAATCCCAGTACAGGCAAGGTGTAACTAATTAAGTAGCCAGTGAGTGTGTAGTCAGACTCTAATCACAAGCTTTTATTATTTATATTGGCCTCTAAATGTGTCTAACTGTGGCATAACTGTGGTACAATGTATTGCAGATTAGTTACATACCCTTTTTTAATCATTTGACAGGTAAGTTATTACATTTTTGCAAATGATTTATTTTGATGCACAGAGCTGTACACTGATGTCGCTTAAAGAACCACAGTAATACTCAGATGTGCTGATCTTGTTGATTAATGTTGAACTCACCAAGGTTTTCACCCTCATTTATCCGGGAGATAAACTGCAACACTCGAAATTTCATTGCGATGTCATCCGTGGACTCCAAAGGGCGCGCCATAATACCTGCAATAAAACAATAAAGAAGCTTCTTATTTCCCCCAAACACACAGAAATTAATAACACAAAATAGCCTAAGTAACTGGCAATAATAGCTGGCTATATGCCCACTTTTTTAACTTCTACTGAGGTGTCTCAAATTGAAGGAATACATAACCGTCTATGCCCTAGAAACAAGTTCAATAAATAAATAAATAATTTAAAAAAACAAAAAACAAAAATAAGGCGTATGGAGGTTGTATTTGAGGAAAAAGATGTCTTTTGTATGGTAATAAAACTATAAATATGTCATTAAAATCACCTTGATTTTTTTCTTAAAAGACACATTTTAGTATGTTGAAAAACCACTACGTGAACGTACATACATGTAAACAGAACTGAAATTGTTCCTTGTGTATATAAAATATCAAAACAAATAAATAAGAGCAGCCTCGCTCGACATAACAAGACGATGGGTCCGCTTACTCTCACAACAACACGATTCATGAAATTTCCCCCGTTTATTCATTTATTTTCTGTCAGCTGACGCCTGGAAAGTTTAAGAGCATGTATTATCGTAACCAAGATAGAAGACAACTTATAAAGGAGCACTAATATTTAAGTCCGCTAACTTGTATTAAGTTTGGTACGAAGTTAGGCAGTTCTGGTAGTACTATAGCTGGTTACGAGCTAGCCAAACTAGTCAAAAACACTGTTTATACTTACAGTCGAGTATATCTATAATGGCACAGAAATCCTCGTATTGTTCATTTTTAAAGAACTCTACCGCCAAAAAGAAGTAATAATCCACTAGCCAGCCGTTCACGACAGATTCAACGCTCACTTGGTAACTGTTTACAGTCTCCTTTGCCGCCATATTCACGTCAAGTTAGACGGTAAAGCAGGAAAGCATTTAGGATGAAGGCGGGGAAAATTTGAAGGCTGGCCGAAAGGCAAACCGGGGCACTTTATTCTCCGAACTGAGTTTTTCAGGCAGCACTTAAGTCATTCCAGTTGTATAAAACCACAAGAGAAACTCAACCAAGACAATAAATATCCCCAAATAACGTTTAAAAGTGTAAAAATCGGTGAAACTATAACCATGACTGCCAGTCCAATATCAAAAATACAAAATTTAATTAAGACTTTAAAAAGAGTTCTGCCTGAAAGTCAAAATTCAGCTTACTAAAACACAAACGCTTCTTCTCTGAGCCGACGTTGCACTAGCAGGATAGCACTATGCTGCCACCCAGCGGACTGGAAGAAGCAGTGCTGTTCTTTTCAAATGTTTTTTACTGCATTACTTGTACCTTGCAAGCGTTTTGCTCCATCGCTGCCAACTCAGCACACCTGTACATTGCTGTAATACTTGCATTACAACAATACTAAAAGTTTGGTGTTCCCCTATTGAAATAATTGCTCTCATTTACATTCTTGTGCATGTCTGTTTCTGGGGAGGGATTCTGAATGAATCTCAACTGAACTTTGAAGACTTTAAATGCTTAATTATGTAATTACAGTGTGTATTTTATGTACAGGAAAAGAAATTAATATATCAGAGGGATGGCTCAGGTTGAGCATGAAGGAGACAAAGTTAGAGAAGCACGTCTGAGATTGTCTGGACATGCACAGTGGAGAGATTGTGGAATATATTGGACAAAGGATGCTGAATCCAGAGCTGCCAGACAGGAAGAAACGAGGAAGACCACATAGAAGGTTCAAGGAGGTAATAATCAAGGCCATGCAGAGGGTTCGTGTGACAGAGGAGGAAACGAGGGGTAGGGTGAGACGGAGCAACCCCTAAAGGAAGCAACTGAAAGATGATTTGCACACTGCATCTGCATCACAAATGACTTAATATACATATACTCCATAATGTATGATGAAAATCAAAATCCACTCCAAATTCTGCCCAACCTCACACTTGCTGAACTGCTTTAAGCAAATCAGGAGCACGTGAGCATGAGTATGACAGGCAATTAATCCGAGTGTATAGCTTTAAATTAATCAAGTTTATTATGTAAAAGTATGACATTAACAATATAAGACATCATAAGATTATGACACCATTAAAAAAACTTGAATAAAACATTCCATTTATATATTGTTAATAGCAACCTTTATACTTTGCTTGTAAAGCTGAAGGACTTTTGTTCTTGAAGAAACATTCTCTCAGGAGTGTAGGACACAAAACTTTCACAACTGTTCATGGTGATATTAACGGTAAATCTGTGATCAAACACCCATCCTGTTAAGAACCATTACGACACAACACAAAATTCTCTCTATCCTTTATATTCTGCAGGACTCTGCTTCAACTGCCAACTACTGTGAGGAGAAAAAAAAAAGCATTGACAGAATAGTGTTGTATTGGTTTAAGCATCTTTGCATGTTGTTCAACATTCATCTTCCTGTGGTGATTGTAGCTTTTTAAAGTCATACAGCAGAAAGCAGAGATTATCAGTGTAGTCCTTCAGCATTCATAGAGTCTGTTAGCAAATATGAAAAAGACATGAGACAGTTTAAGAGTTCGGTCATGAAGCAGGACGTCCTATTGTCAAATACTTGACCATATCAATCTTGCCCAAATGATACCAATCAAATTCAAATGCTTTGACACAGCAATATCTGCAATTACTTTTGTTTTTGTACCCACAACAACTACAACTTACAGTTCAGCACTGCATTAGAACTGTTATTTCTTTTGATATTTGCCTCTAATCTAATGACATAATAGTTTATTGGACTCGTCATCATTTCCTGCAACACATTTATTCAGCTGCTGCATGATTAGCAACATATATGCGTGCAAAACTAAACAATGGGAATTTTAGTATTATTTTCTGGCAAATTTTAAACTTCTTTCAGTTATAAAAAGTTTCATTTTCTACTTTCTATGAAGCTTAACTTTTAACAGTTTTTAGCATGTTAGGGACTTGTTGAATGTTCTATGATCTATATATAGTGAAAGTAAAGCAATGTTTAAATAGGAAATATATGAAATCCAGCAGAATACAAATGAGAAATGAGGCCAGCATTAAAATAATCCCCTGATATTAATTAGCTTTCAGTGCTGTGACCCTTCTGATGACAGTGCTGTCAAATACCATTCTAATGACAGCATGTTTTTCAAAACATTACAGCCATAGAGCATCAGATATTATTTATTGTAAACAGTGGGCACAGTTCCTTTTCTTAACGACCACAGATGAAAACAAACAGCAGTAATATTGTTCAGCAAGCATATAAATTAGACTTTAAGAGTCTAGACTTGACAATACTTTGATAATACCAGCCTGTGCATCTGGACTTGACTGTAAACTGCAGATTCGAAAAGCCACATTCATCCGGTGCCAACAAACTCGTTAGTTAGGCAGAGTGAAGTTAGGAGAGTGGCAGCCACAAAATTGACATTTTCAAAAATCACAATATCTTTCAATCTCAAAAATTCAATTGATTTGATGTTTCAAAGGCATGGCAAAGTGTTCTAATAACACTGGGAAAGTGTCTGCTGCTGTCCTGCCACTAGATGGTACATGCCTGAAACTTTTGCAGTAATAGGAAAAAAGGCCTCACAAGCCTCTGCTGAGCTCCCCAAGACCGTATTAAAGCTCGTATAGTGAGCCGGTACCTCAGTCTTTTTCGGCAAAGCACTCTTTTTAAATCTACAAGCTGACTTCACAATGGAGCTTTGCACAGTCGATCAGAATGTGAAAACAATGACCCAAAGGAGGTTGTGCTAACGTTTCAAACCTTCCTTTTCAACTCATTGTTACACACGGTGGCCAAGGAGCATGTAAAGTGACCATGTCTGAGACTCGGCTCTGTCTTGAGGGCTTATAACGTTGTTTTTTTAGGGTTTAAAATGCTGTGAAGACTTTTCCAATAACTTTTGTATATAGTAAAATTCCTACTACACAGAAGTTCCCTCTGATTTCCCACACAGAGGTTAAAAACAAAACAAAACATGAAAGTATTAAACAACGCAAACTTAGTAACATTTAGCCTTCGGCCTAATTCACTTCATCATGAAAGCACAGCCATCAGTTGTCCTGTTGTTTAACTGATTGCAGAGATAAGGAGATGTTGATCAGCATGTAGGAGTGATGGAAATGGATACACATACACAATTATTACAAAATGTTTTGTCCAAATGAAGACTAGCAGTAGTCGTCTCCTGTGAGTCATGGTCATCTGCTGAGGTGTGCACATGGTGATAAAGCTTCACCAATAAATTTCTTTTAGCTCGAGTAACCTAAACAACTTTATCCCGAGGACCCCCCCCAAAACAAAAAAAACCCCCAAAAAACAACAGAGATGAAGAGATAGAAAAAGCCATCTCCTAGATAAGAATGAGCATTGTGTTCATGGTAGCTTGTTAAGATGATTAAAGCCTCATTTCCAGACTAAGATGCTGAATGAAGCCTTATACATGCAGCACAGTTCAAACTCTAATGACCACTGTGCTCCATAACCAAGCTTTTTCCTCAAGTGTCATGTAAGTAGTGCATGTCCTTGACTGTGAATCCCCTGTCAGTGGTTCTCTTGTCTGGGCCAAAAGAAAAATAATTCAAGCACTTTCCATTTCGACCCACTTGTGTAGCTCCAGTGATGATGAAAGATGTTGTTGATCCATCCCTCAAAAAAAAAAAAAAAACATTCAAAGACTTTTCTCCAATCTCATGTGCACAGCAAACAAAACATACTTAAGTTGTGTCCCAAGGTGCATTAGTTGAGTTCAAACAGCATCTTGGATGGTGGGGAATAAAAAGACTCACTTGAGTTACGTACTGCATGCGTTACCAAACAACACAAACCACATAGCTCCTCATTTTGCCCACCCTGCAAAAAAAAAATCCAGTTGTTCATCCGATTTGTGCAAAGCAATATCACATGTGTTGGATCCACATCAGCATGTGATAGACAACACAGACTCTCAGTAGTGATTGTGATACACTTGGGTCCCATTACTGCAGAATGTTTTGTCACCTACTCAGGAAAGACGCCGCCGGAGGTTCATGGTAGCTCCAGTCGAAGAGGGCATAGAAGAAATCCTTTTTTTCCACCACACCAGACACGGTGAGGTGTCGGTGAGTTGCATCAGTCTGCAGTCTTCTCAGACAGAAAACTCAGACCCACCACGGCGACCGTGGGTCAACAGCATTAGGCGCCGCAGACGCAGGCCTGTGAATGGATTGCACCACAGCAAAGATGGCGAACCCCCAAATACAGCTTTCATGCCATCCCATCTCATGCGACGCTCCCAAGTGGGTTTCTCGTTTTTAAGACGTTCAATTTCCTGCAACACATTTGAACCCACCAGAAAGGAAAGATCCTCAATAAGTTGTCCATTTCCTTTCTCATTAGCATGCTAACACAAACATTTATGCAGAGATCTAGAACGAAAGTCATTGCATATTAATTATACTATATAGCTAAAGAAATTTAATGTACACCTGAACAATGTCTCAGTTGATTATTTTATAAATAATATATCACTGCTATCTCGGTACACAACTTTTAGGTGAATTTCCTGTGACTTTTACAGATTAAAATTAATGAATGATCATGATTACCAATGAGATGACATTGCTGAGGCAGGAATATGACACCGTAACAACTTGATAAAATTAGTCTAAGACTTCTTTCTTCGATTCATGCACATTTAATCCCTCCACTGCTGAAAGGAACAAAGCTTGCGTGGCGCAGTAGATACTGACCGTCTCGTCATTGCAGATGGAGTGGATCTGCGTACCAAACATTACAGCTGTGAAAGTGAGGAAGAGGATGGCTTCGAGACACAGGAAGATAAGCAGCAGCACAGACACCCCCGGTGAAAACTCACTGCACTCTGGTTAGAGGAACAAAGTTAGAGGTTTCAGAGTGCGCTGAACAACTGAATAAAACAGAATATAAAATGCCAATCAAATAACAATACATTTAAAATAGGACAGATTCTAAAAGGGTAAATGTCTTCCCTTTGGGTGTTTAAAAGTCACATAGGTCACTGGATAAAATCTAGTGCAGACCATTAAAATAGTCCCTTTGCTACAATACAATTGCTACGGCAGACTGTATTTTTTTGGGAGGTCAGAGTATTATCCTGCAGAGATGACGAGAAGCTAGAATTTGAAGAATGAAATATTATCTTCATTTTCTGGTTCACTCTTACAGACAGACCCACAAGGGAGCGGGAAGTGATGGATGACAGCTCAATGATGGCTTTGCCGCACAACTTCAATGACTTGTGCAGAGCAGCTGTTCTGACAACAGGATAAAAATCTCTTTCATTTCCATACTCTGCTTCTTTTCTTCATGTCTCTAAGGAGTTTCAACCACTTGTACTAATAGTTGCATTTCTGCCTTAAACTGCATGTCTTTGACATCATGTGTTCATGTTTTTGAAAGTTAAGTTAGAGAAGCCTTACCGTTCCACTGAAGTTTAATACATGTGAAGAAGTGCATGCCACTGAGGCCGAGGGCATAGGCAGAAATCAAGGCTATGTACATCTATGGAGAGATGAAGAGAACAAAAAAAGTCACATATACAAAACAAAGAAGGTAAGCAAAACCACTCACAACCCAACAGTTTACTGACATTCACTGGAGTAATGTAGCCTTAAACTATAAATTTCACATTCACAAGTAGAGCTGGGCCAGATCATACCGTTCAAGGTGATACCGGTATAATGTTGGGCAATGATAAGAAAATGAAATATCACGATAGAATATGGGTAAAACGCGCATGCGCAGTGTCTTTGTTTTCATACGCACATGGCGAAAAAAGCATGGCGGCGACGGAGAATGAGAAGAGCGAAAGCGGATCGTTGAATGAAACGGATGAACCAGAATTGGTTTGTAAAAATGCTGCAACTTCAGTGGTGTGGAACTGGTTTGCTTTCGTCCGTCAGATACACAACAAAGCACTATTTTTGGTAGGCATGCTAGCGGGCCGTCGTTATTACCGTGTTTTTGGAAAATACGGCACACTTAAAATCAATCCTTTGATTTTTCTGAAAATCGACAGTGCCCCTTATAATCCCGTGTGCCTTATGTATGAATTCTGGTTGTGTTTACTGACCTCGAAACGATTTTATGTGTACACGGCGCTCGAAAATCTGTCAAATGTTTTAGTACGACTTTGCTAAGCTACCGCTTGATGGATTGTCGGAGCATTACGGCTAT